CAACAACAACAACAACAACAACAACAACAACAACAACAACAACAACATGTACTCGCTGGATTTAGTCCCAGAGACCACTCACCTCCTTCCTCTTCTTCAACAACTGTAAAAACGACATTTGTCAGAAGGTCCAAACACCTACAGAGGAGAATCAGAATCAGTTTATTATCGCCATGTCAATGAACGAGGTTCACAAACTAGGAATTTGCTTCGACATAAGATGCGAATAGTAGTAAAGTAAAATAAAGTAAAAATTAAGTAAAAATGAGAACATTACATAAGACATAAGCCTGTGTACACCCACAAATAAAGTAAAATTAAAACCATAACATAACCATATGTAGGAGAGAGCTTGAGTGAGGAGTTAACATCCTGAGCTTCATGAGGATGGAGGAGGACAGGACCAGGATCAGGTCTCAGGTCTTACCTGCAGCTCTGAAATCCCTGACGCCTCTTAGTCCTGCAGGGTGAAGCAGCAACAGATGAAGGCTGGGCGGGAGGTTGGACGAGGTGAAAGGCACGTAGACAGATGCATCTTCCTGTATTGTAATGCAGCACTAAGGGCACAACATCCACTTAATGAACATCAGTGTCAGCGTGTAGCGCCCCCCAGTGGTCACACTGAGAATCAGGGTCAAAACAGGCTGGAGTTTTGGTTGGACTGATTTTATTGCTATATTTGTGCATTAATACATGAACAGAGGAGGTTAAATCATGTGGGCGGAGCCAGATAAGCTTTGATCTGCTGAGCGGTGAGAGAAGGACTCGTTCTATTGAGACAACGAAGGAAATGAGAGTGTCTGATGGACGAAGCCTCCAAGTTCTCTTCATCTAACGCCAGGAGAGCAGCCTGGAAAATAAAACATAAACCTCTGAGTACTCGTGTGAGTCTGACTTTTGTATTTACATGCACCTGACACACTATTACCTCTTTGCAGAGGTTCTCCAGGTCTGCTCCAGAGTACAGTTCTGTCTTAGCAGCCAGCTCCTTCAGACACACGTCATCGTCCACGGGCATGGACGAGGTGCAGACCTGCAGGATGGAGAATCGGGCCTAAAAACACAAAACCACGCTCCGGTCAGGTCAGTTCATCACAGACAGAAGATCTTCCTGGAAGGTTTACCTGTTGGTCAGGTGGGGGCACATATATGATGTGGTCCAGCCTGCCCGGCCTGAGGAGAGCGCTGTCCAAACACTCAGGTCTGTTGGTGGCAGCGACAACCATCACGTCCTTGTTGCAGACCTCCTGAAGATCCAACTGTAGGGAAACAAAAACAACTCAGAACTCAAGTCCCGTTGTTTCAAGCAGAGGTTGTGACGTCGGTATGACCTGTTTCTGCATGTGTGGTTCCTCCCCTCCCCCCGCATGCAGGATCTTCTCCGTTCCTCTCCTCTCCAGGGTCTTCAGGCCGATCCCATCCATCTCATTCAGGAGCACAGACAGCAAGCGGGTCTGAACGCTGTTAAGGTTCTGACCATTTGATCGTGAGCCGATCAGAGAGTCAATCTCGTCTAGGAACAGGATGCAGGGAGCGCAGGCCCGGGCCTGCAGGAACAGCTGCAGGAGCGCAGAGGGACTCGGATGATTGGAGGCGAAACAAACAGGAAGTAAAGATGGACACTGATGGACTCACCTGAGCTAAAGCTTTCTCTGAGTCTCCGATGTAAGGAGAGTACAGCTCGGCGCCGCTGACAGACAGGAAGCTGCAGCGGGAGGACGTGGCTGCAGCTCTGACCAAAGACGTCTTAGCACATCCAGGAGGTCCATAAAGCAGGACGCCACGAGGACGGCTCAGGCCCAGACGGACAAATGCCTCGGGGTGTCTCAGAGGCCACTCGATGCTCTTTTAACAGAAAACAATCATTTAGCTTTGATTGACAAACGAGGACTGATAACTCGTTTACCTACCTGTCTCAGTTTGAGCTTGACATCCTTCAAACCTCCGATCTGCTCCCAAAGCAGCGGCAGGACCTCCATCCTGCCAGGACTGCTCCTCAGGCAGGACGGACCCACTGTCCTCAGAGCCTCCAGGAAGTGTTTCAGATCCACCTGACGTTCTCCTGAACCCTGCAGAGATGGACAGAGACGCAGAGACAGAAACCTGTTAAAGTTGGAATAAGTGAAAAGAACTGAATCATCCAAAGTTTAACATCAGAACTCCTGAACAGCTGATCGGATCGGTACCACAGCTCAGTTAAATCTTCTGAACTTCTGCCCAGAGAATCTCTCAGAACCTGTCTGACTCTCAGCGTTCTGTTGGGTTCACCTTCACGGTTTCCCTCAAAGCGTTCATGGCAGCTTCTCTGCACAGAGCGCTGAGATCCGCTCCGACGTATCCACTCGTTATCTGGGAGAGTTCTGCGATGTTCAGACCAGGACACACGGGCATCTTCTGACACAGAACCGACAGGATGGATGTTCTCTGCTGCAGAGTCGGAGCTCCGATGATCAGCTGCAGGAGGAAAACACAGCTCAGAGCTCACAGGTTGAAATATGAATAACTCAGGTGTTAAAAAACAAATCAAATCACTTTACCTCCCTGTCAAACCTGCCGGGCCGCCGTAGTGCCGGGTCCAAGCTGTCCGGTCTGTTAGTGGCTCCTACGATCAGGAACCGATCGGACTGATCCATCCCGTCCATCAGAGTGAGCAGCTGAGCCACCAGCCGGTTCTCTGGTGCTGACGACCCGGTTCTCTTTGGGAACAGAGAGTCCAGTTCATCCAGGAAGAGAACGCAGGGACCTTCTTCTGCTTCGGACTGAGCGCGCTCAAACACGGCCCGCAAAGTCTCCTCGCTCTCACCCGGCCGTGACCCAACCACCTGGAAAAAAGATTTCCAGCAACAATAATTAATGGTAATTATCGTCAGAATCAGTGTTAATTATTGTAAGAATCAACTGTTTTTATCGTCAGAATTTACGGTAATTATTCCTCCGCAGAATTGCCCCCAACATGGTGGAGGGTTTGGGGTTTTTATTGCCTCTTGTCCTGTCCGGCATTGTGACACTCGGAATTATTGTCTGTGTCAAGCTGAAAACGGGGACACTTCCCTGAAGCCAAAGTTGGTGGTCGAACATTTATATATTTATTTATTTATTTCTATAGCGCTTTACACAACCACGGTGATGATGACCAAAGTGCTTAACAAAAACAGTAATTAAAATGACAACAAGCTAAACGCAAGAAAAAACAATAAAATAACAAAAAGAGAACCAGAAATGTCAACACATGTTTAAGGACTAAAAGCCTGTTGGAATAAAAAAAGTCTTGAGCTTCCATTTAAAAGGGCCAAGTTCAGTAATCTGACGTAGATCAAGTGGGAGCTTATTCCAGAGTCGAGGTGCAGCCGCAAAAAAGGCACTGTCACCCCAGCGTTTATATTTTGTCCTTGGAACAGAGAGCAAGTTTTTCATTGGCTCCTGGGGCTCAGCCAGGCCTAGCCCGAAAGAAAGAAAGGAAGCTGCCCCCACATGGGCCAACTACCTGCAAGGAGGAGCATAAAGGTCAGGTGCAAAGCAAGCTGTGTGGCAGGTGAGAGAGGCTCCCTGGCCATGCTGATTCCTGGTGGCACAGACTAGCTCTATAGACTTGGACTGTCACCTCACTGGCGGATAAGAAGCCGGAGCTCGTATGTGAGGTTGAGCGGTATCAACTAGATATAGTTGGGCTCACCTCTATGCACAGCTTGAACTCTGGAACCCAACTCCAGGAGATGGGTTTGACTCTCTCCTACTCCAGTTGCCCAGGAAGAGAGGCGTCGGGCGAGTATGGGGATACTCACAAGCCCCCAGCTGAATGCCTCGGTGTTGGGAGTTTTCCCTGGTGAGCGAGAGGGGAGATTCTGACTTGTTTGTGCTTGAGCATCAAACATCAGTTCAGATTACTTGGCCTGTCTGAGGAATCTGGATGTTGAGCTGGAAAGGGTGCCATCTGGGGATTACCTTGTTCTACTGGGTGACTTCAATGCCCATGTGGGCAATGACAGTCATCTGGAAGAAGATGATTGGGAGGAACGACCTTCTTGATCTGAAAAGGAATGGTGTTTGCTTATTGGACTTCTGTGCTAGGCCTGGGCTGTCCATAACAAACACCATGTTTGAGCATAGCGCGGTACCAGGCCACCTTAGGCCAAAAATCGTGTCGTTGGACCTGTGCTGTGATCCTATGTGTTGAACACTCGGCTAAAGAGAGGGGCAGAGCTGTCAACTGATCACCACCTGGTGGTGAGTTGGATCCGGTGGTGGAGGAAGCTGCCAGACAGACCTGGTAAACCCAAACGCATAGTAAGGTTAAACTGGGAACATCTGGTGGAGCCCTTGGTCCATGCAGCTTTCAACTCACACTTCCGGGGGAGGTTTTTATTTTCCCCGGTGGAGGTCGAGGACGTGGAATCTGAACGAGCTATGTTCAGGGCCTCTACTGCAGATGGGGCTTCCAGGACATGTGGCCTGAAGGTCATTGGTGCCTGTCACAGCAGCAACCCAAGAACCCACTGCTGGACACCAGCGATGATGGAGGCTGTCATGATGAAGAAGAAGGTCTTCAGGGCTTGGCTGTCCAGGTACAGGGTAGCCAGAAGGACTGCAACTTTGGTGGTTGTGGATGCAAAAACTCTGGCATGGAAGGAATTCATGGAGGCCATGGAGGACTTCTGGTTGACTTTGAGGAGGTCCTGGCATTTGGCAACTCAAAAGAAAAAAAAAGGAAAGTGGGGTCCTTACCTGTGTTTGTGTGTTATGGATCATGACACAAAAAACCAGAACCTGGATCCAAGCAACTGAAATGAACTTTCCTTCACAGGGTGGCTGGGCTCAGCCTTAGAGATAGGGTGAGGAGCATAGTCATCCGGAGGACGCTAGGAATAGGAGTAGAGCTGTTGCTCCTCTGAATCTAAAGCAGTCAGCTGAGGAGGTTCATCTGATCAGGACACCTCCCTTTGGAGGTATTCTGGACATGTCTCACTGAGAGGAGACTCCGGGGCAGACCCAGAAGTCTCTGGAGGGCTTATAGATCCTCCCAGAAGGAGCTGGATAGGGTCTCTGAAGAGAGGGAGGTCTGGGTTTCTCTCCTGGACTTGTTGCCTCAGCGACCCCTCCACAGATCAGAGGAAGAAGATGGAGATTAACGATAATAATGATCAGACTGCAGTTCTGTCTGAGAATAAAGACAATTTCATTTTAGTTTTAACTTTGTGGTTTATTTTTAACTTGTATTTATTTATTTAAGGTTTTACTAAATGGCTTTTTTCATCCACAAATTAAATCTGAGAACTCGTCTCGGTGCCCAACACCAAACAGAGATCAGATTATTTGTACCTCTGGTCCACGGACCACCACCAGGCTGGCTCCCACCTCCTGGACCACCTTTTGGACTGACAGGGTCTTTCCAACTCCTGGAGGCCCGATCAGGAGTACCCCTCTGGGACAGGAGACCCCTAGAGACCTCAGGGTGTTGGGATAGACCAGAGGCAGCTGCAGTATCTCTCTCAGGGACGATGTCACCTGCAGGGGACAAAAAACAGTGTTGGACGGTCCACACTTCCAAGTAGACCAGAGACACGACATTTCATGGCAAACACAGACAGAGCTAAATGGAGAACCTGGAACGGAGTTAAAGCGAAACATCAGCTAAAGGCAGCAAAAACACCAGCTAAAGGCTGTAAAAAAAACATCAGATAAAGGCTGTAAAAACACCAGCTAAAGGCTGCAAAAACATGAGCTAAAGGCTGTAATAATACCAGCTAAAAACTGTACAAACACCAGCTAAAGGCTGTAAAAACACCAGCTAAAGGCTGCAAAAACACCACCTAAAAGCTGCAAAAACCCCAGCTAAAGGCTGCAAAAACACCAGCTAAAGGTTTCATAAACACCAGCTAAAAGTCTGCATAACACAAGCTAAAGGTTGCATAAACACTAGCTAAAATCTGCAGTAACACTAGCTAAAGGTTGCATAAACACCAAATAAATAATGCAAAAACAACAGCTAAAGTCTTCAAAAAGCAAGCGGTAGCAGAATGTTAGCTAAAAGCCGTAAAATAGTAGCTAAAAGCTATGAATAAGTAGGGTCAACTAACGGACCTCCTCCAGTCCTCCTAGTGGGGGGTTCTGCTGGTTCTGAAGCTGACTCTTGTAAAACCGGACTGTCTGGACCCCGGAGACCTCCACAGCGGTTTTTGAGGTGATTAATCCAGAACTACCCGAATCTGGACTGATGTGGTCCACAACAGCATATCTCATCGGTGTTTCATAATCCTCCAGGTTTATGACGAACCCCTGATGGACAGAAATCCCCCTCAACAGATCCCTCACGAGCTCATGGACAACCCGACCAGAAGTTCTCCTGTAGTCCGGACTTTGGACCACCACAGTCACTGTGACAGCCTTCAGTTTGGGGCAGGGTACAGGTCTCAGCTGACTCGGGTCCAGGATCAGCTGTGAGGGGATCCCAGAGATCAGACCGCGGCTGAAACACTTCAGGTCCATCTGCAGGAAGTCCTCCGACAGGTCCGAGCGTGGCCAGGCGGTGCAGATGCAGCTCCCGCCGGGAACAGAGACCAGCAGCGGGGAGCCCAGTTTCAGACCCAGCGCCGACATAAGACCCGGACCCAGCCTGCATCTCTGAGAACCCCGGTCCGAAGGATCCACAGACACGAGTCTCAGAGACCGCATAGTTCATCAGAACCCACCGGAACGTCAGCAGGACAAAACCCAAAACTGAACCAGAACTATGCAACTTTAGCTACATGCTAACTAGCTAACCGGCTAGTTACAATAAAAATTTCCCTGCGTTGATTAGTTTAATTAAAAAGGTTTTATGTAATTCAGTAAAGTTGTGGTGAACTGACATGTTTAAGGTTTTACAGCAGGCAGTAACTTTTAGCTTTTATTATTATATTATTAGCCACCGTAACTATAAGCTATAAGCTACGACAAGACCAATGTTTACAAAAACCATGTGGCGTCTTCTGAAAAAGATGGACAACAAAAACCTTGTCATGGGTTCCGCTAAGCGTCTATTGTTTATTTGTCATATCAATCATTCAACCTTTATTTAGACAGGTAAATCCCATTGAGCCTCGAGGACTCATTTACAAGAGAGACCTGATTTCAACAAAGAAAGATGACAACAATGGACAACATCAACAATAATAAACAATTATAAAAAGTCATAATACAGTTTTTTTTTTTTTACAAATAGGATGGCTAAAAGGAAAAGGTAACAAAAAAACAAAAAACAGCTAGATTCTAAGGCGAATGTAGAAAACTAAAAACAGGAACATGTCTGCATTGCATTACATGTCTGCATATGCAGGTTAACACAAGGTCAGCTATGCAATGAAATATTCAGGATGAGAAGAACTGATTCGACTCGCTAAAAAACAAACAAGAAATACTAAAGCCTGTAATAAAGGAACAAATAAAGTACCAAAAAGTGAAAAATAAATATATTTACAAGGTCCAAAAGAAATACATTAAACAACAACAACATAGAACATAACGGTACAAGTAGGATGAATTAGTAAATAAATATTTCACAAGTAATAATATTAGTGGTATTAGGTAGTATTATATATATATATATA